TTCCCAAATAATAGCTTTTAAAATTTAAATGGTAAAAGGATAAACCAAAGATTACCCATTCATCTGTGCCAAAAATGACCACAAGAGAATAGTTGTTGACTTTTAAATAGTGACCACTATCAAACTATTAGTCTTGTTCGCCATTTTATCCCCTGCAAGCAATTAGCGGCAAAAACACATCGAAAGCAAATGCAGAATAAATATTTTCGTAAATAGACAAGCGGCACACAATAGGCGCAAATATTTGGCAGCGAAAAAACGCAGCTATTTTAATGTCAGAGTTTCGATGGGAAAATCGATAGATGACCCCGCAACGGCGATCTCCGTTGCCCCGCAGATGTGGCCGAATAAAATGCTGGACAAACAAATTCAAACAGTTACAAAGCCAATTTAGGTGCCCTCGCCGCCCTCGGCTATTTGGCCAGCTTGATTGAGCCATGTCCGCTGGCCATATCCCATATCCGTGAGCTCCCGCGAGGATTTTAATCATGCACGTATTTTGAAGCTTTTCCGCTTTCCAGCCACGAACGCCATAAATATCCATCAATATGTAAGTAAGCGAATTTCGGCTTTCTCCGCGCCGTGAACTATGAACCCTGAAAAAACAGAGGCTGCCATTAATATATTTATGTGGAGGGAAGCCACATAAAAGCATTCATATCACCGCGAATGGCAAATGCACACTTAATTTCATAAATTGTGAAATAGTTTTAGTACTTACGGATGTCGTGATAAAATTAAACGTAGTCATTTTTGTGCATTAAGCACAATTTGAAAACTAGTTTTAGCCAATTATTTCTGTTTTGTGGACTATATGTGCATTAAAATATAATTCTAAAGTGGATTCTAGCAAATTATCAATAATATATTGCTTTGTAAAAAATGCATTAGTTTATTTTCAAAAAATTATTATACAAATTATTGTTTAGTCAAAAAAATTTTAAAACTTTCCGTAAGAAATATTTATATACTGCTTGAAAAACTTCAAAAGGTAATACTTATTTTGAGTTTGGACAGCAACTATATTTACTTTATTATTTTTAATAGGGATTCGTAAAATCAGGGTTCAAACAACCTTTTTTTTCCTAAGGATTTCCTTTCATTTATGGTGGAAACCACGAAGAAATCCCACCAAATTCCCCGCTTCTCTTACCTTTGCCACATACTTCGGGCGAGTCTGCTCTACTTTGGCTGCAGCTTTATTATTCACTTTGTCTATCACGGTCTGACTCAAAAACTTAACCCTATTCCGTGAGCCCTGCTCAAAGGTCCTGGGGCTCTGGGCCCGACAAATAAGACAACAAATAAAAACGGGGGAACAAACACAGAAAATGTTGAAAAAGAAGCAGGAAAGTTGGAATAAAGTGTTAACAAGCAGCGTATAAATTATTAATTAAGTCGCTCTACTCGACCAGTCTGTGCAATTTGCTTTATTAAATGAAATGCAACTGGAAAAGCAGACTCTAGTTGTGCAAATTTATATTCTCCGGCATTTGACATAAATTTCATTTATATCCATTTGAATTGGTCTCTTGCAGAGGCCTAATTATTTAATCAATATATGCCCATAAATATTGCACAGAGCTCTCAGCCATAGGGAAAAGATATATGAATGCCTGTAATATATGTGTTGGTGCTTGTGTGGCCCCAATTGGTTCAATTAGTGAAAGGAAAACAAAAGTTAAAGTTCCCACAATGCTAAACTGCATGGGATACCATATTTCAGGCAGGAGCCCTATAATTACGATGAAGAAGGCGGCGGACATAATAATTAAAGGTAAACGACTGGGCCAGACAGTTCGTAAAAGCCCCAAAACATGAAAATTATATAAATTAAATATAAGGAAATTTAAATCTTATAAACTCTAATAAAAATGTAAAACTCACTTTTCACATCTTAGGAAAAATGTAAAGATGTCTTAGTAAGGTTCCAAATTTATATACTCCAACGTTTCCAAAACATAGATTTGAATAAAAATATAAAATCCATTTATAGGATATGAAATCATATTTTTAAATGAAATAGGAATGAGACTTATAATGAGCTTCACACAACTTAGTAAAATTTGTTAAGTTGCATGTTTTTGTCTTAATACTTAAGTAATAGGATTATTTTTTTATAGAGTTTCAAAGTAATGTACTCCAACATAACAAGTCCCCATCTTTAGTAAATATAGAGCCCACACTTTATTATATATTGTGCTTGATTTTAGTACCCAACCACTCTCCAGAGAAAAACAAATGAGTTGGCATTTCATGTGAAATGCTATCAGGCTAGCCTAAATCTTAAGCCTCAGTTGTGGGCGAATCCTCGTGGCAGCTTGGTAAATCGTTTTGCTGGAATAAGACCTTTACTATCTCTATACAATTATAACCAAAGCGCGACCTTTGTACACATGTCCCTCAGAAAGAGCCCTTTTATGCGACTCCGACTGAAAGTCCTAGTTCAAGTCTACCTGGTAAAACGTTCCGAGGCAAAACCTGGGCACTAAAAATGCGTGCGTGCCTTGGTATTTCTTTTTTATCGATTTGCATATCTAAATTTAGTCAGGCGACATATAATGCCATACCACACAGTGTATGTTCGCATGCATATATGTTTATTATACACAGGGAGGCCAGGGAGCACGGCCACACGCACTAATAAATATTGCATTGTGATACTGGGAATGGAGTCCGCTCAGTTTGAGGAGTCGTGGCTGCCGTAATTAAAGTTCTTCCACCATCTGCCTATGCCTTGGGGCTACAATTAGATTTTGGTGTTATGTATTCACTGTCTACACATGTATGTTTACACCTAAAAAAAGTTTTCTTTCTGGAGCGGGAAAAATTATTTATGAATTTTCCTGGATAATCGAATAACAATCGAATAACCCCTAGCAACTTGAAAATCACTAAGTTATGCATGGTATATTTTGTTGGAATTACAAGATTAAAAGAAATAAAGGAACACTTTAAAAACTTGGGACTGAAAAATAAACCTTAAAGTGGGAAGCATTTTCTTTAGAACCCCATTTTAATGAAATTAAACTTATGTATGATCACTTCAATCAAAGATAAATCTTTATAAAATTATTTGTTTGATAAATTAATATTAAATTGATAAAAAAAAGAAAAACGGAATTATTCATAGTTGCTTCAGCAGTCTATTCTAATCTAAATTAAATCTTAGTACCAATTTTTGCTACTTAAAATTCTAAATCTGAACTGTTTCTCGTTGATCTGATACGTTTTTCCCCTAAAGAAATCAATTAATCTAAATGAAATCTTAGCAATTTTAGTTATGTAAAATTCTAAATCGAAACCTAAATTTTTTTTGGCGGATCTGATAAGTATTTTCCTCTAAAGAAATATTTTTTGAACTAATAGAAAAAACAAAAATTTTTATAACAATCCTTGCACTTGATGTACGTGCACCACCGTGCCTCCAAGTGGACGTGAAAACACGGCTTTAGATTGGCCGGCAAATGCCTTGGTCACCTTGAACCGCCGCTTTGGGGAGACAAAAGGATATAGGACATCGCAGGACGCAGGACGGGCCATGATAAATGAGCTACGTTAACTCATGTGGCAAATGTGACATGTGCTCCGGCATTTTTATTCCTTGTGTACCTGGGCTTGTGTGTGCTGATTGCCATGTGAGTCCGTGGAGAGACAAGCGCTAAAATTACCATATTACAGTCCCCCGACAGCCGCCCAGTAGTCTTGGCCCGGATCAACGTGGCCCACTCGGACCACGGACTACGGACCATCTATTCAGGCGCACAAACTGAGGAAAACCAGGGGGCTAATAGGTCAGTTTAGTTGGCCGTAGCATGTGAATTATGGTTAATTTTGGCTGCCACATTGCGGAAGTTATTAACTCGTTTGATTGAACTTGGCCGTAAGTGATTTAGGACGTGTGGCCATGTGCACCAAGTCCAAGTTGATGGCCTAAGTGTATTAAATAAGTGGGGGAATTTGAATTTTGTGTGTGGTCCATAAACAAGATACTGATATTGTTATGGAAGTCGGAAAGCAGAAATCTTGTACAAAAGCAAGGCAATTAAGTGGGCACTCATTAGGGGCGAGGGCTCTAATAAAATTGTGTGGAGAAATAAATTTTAGCTTTCCTGGCTAATAAATTTTTGTAATGGATGCATGGCCATAGATATTATAATTTTGATTTTCGGATTTAATATAATTACGGAGCTAAAAATAATACATAAATTATGACAAGCTAATGACTTAATCTTTTTAAAAGATTTCACTTACTTCTCTAAAGCTTTTTTCAGACATTAAACAATACTTCTCTGTTTTTATTGAAGTCTTTATGGCTTAACTTTTTTAATGACAACTCTTGGTTGCTATACAGTTTATTGTAGTGGAGTTTGTTTGCATCTCCAGGCTAAGGAAATGATCTGCAAGGGTCCGTCAAAGCCCTCTGCTCTGATTTTTCATTAGTGCTTCACTCTTCTTTGAGAAACTTGGCCATAATAGCCAGGGGACAGCCCCGCCCCCCGGTCGTCTGTCAAATATTTGAACAAAGCCCAAGACGCGCAAGTCTCGTCTCCACTGCTCCGCGCTGAAAAGTATGCAGCAGACAAAAGCTCATTAAGAACTCAGACACAATCCCACTCGCAGCCCCATAACAACCCACTGCTGTCATATCCTGTTGTCATCGTCATCGTCTTACACTCCCCGCACTCCGTGTTAAGTGATTTCCATCATTTGCGCCGGCGGCACATGCTGGGGAATTCCAAGTTGGTAATACCGACGACATCAGCAGCCTAAGTCCCCTCCACTCCTTGCACTCCTTCCAAGTCATATGTTCAATTTCATCTAAAAGCAGCTCTCGACTGTTGCTTGTTGTCCGGGGATGCGGACAATGGGGAATTAACCCAAACACAACCCACTATACCATAACCAGGCAATCTTGAAGTGCGAAAATATGCGGGCCTTTGGTGTTGATTTCCATTTCCATTTAATAATTGGTTCTCTAACTGGCTTATCTTTTTCAGCGGTCTCGCATCGTGTGCACTTATGCAGACACAAGGCGATAGAGGATTCCATTGAACTGGCTGCCAAGTTAAATTCGGTGAGTGCGAAACTTTTCCTTTCAATCACAATGGCAGCTTTACTTGCTCAAAGCCCTACCAGCTCAAACAGATCTCTAAATGCACTCGCTCGAATATAAAAATAAGGTGCGAGCCATAAAAATGCAAAGCACTAACAAGCAGTGCAGGGGTACAGACAGAAAAGTTTTTAAAGTATTTTAGATTAGCTTTATTTTGGATAAAGACATTTTTAATAAATTGTATAATAAAGTGGAATGCTGAAGACAGCATAAGAAAATAAAAAAAATCATATTGAAGATAAATATAAAAGTTTGGCGGCTTGGTTTAGAAGTTGGGTTATCTGTATATGAATAAAATAAAAATTCCAAAAATAGTTTTTAGAGAACTCCCTCAAAGAAGTAATCTTGGGATCATAAACTCATCCAAAACGTATAAAATTAAAGTTATTTTCCAGTGCAGCTACGTGCATACTAAATGTATTTGTGAAGGTGCGGGCTAGGTCTTGGGAAACTTTTGTGTGTTTAATTTCCGGCTGCTTTAATACAAGTTCAGTCGGGCATGCACTTGAGGCTTGGCCAGGATTGGCGAGCCTGACGGACTCGTAAGCTCCCAAGGAGCTGCGTGTCCTGTGGCGTCGTGTCCTTGCGGCTCATGACCCGCAGATTTGTGGTCTATGGCATAATATTTATATAGAAATTAAATAGCCTCCAAACCGGTATTACTTAAGGCAAAGGTCAGTGAAGTGTGCGACTCCGACCTCAGGAGCCCTATGAACCACTGAGCTGGAGGTGAAGGAGTGCCCGGGGCGGTTGGGTTCTCTATTCAATTCATGTAATTGAAGTTCTCTCATGCTGATTATGAGGATCAACTGAAGCGCAGGTATGGGAAATCAATTTAAGGACCCACAACGAGCATTTAAACTTAACAGTGCGATGATGTAATCAGAAGAAATAAATTTATGTAGTAATTGCCAAAGGCACAATTCTTAAAAAGGGCTATCTTTTTCAGGAGTCTAATAGTTTCTTGTACTGAAATCGTGTCTCTTATAAATGTTAAAAATATTTTTTCACTATTTAGCAAATGGTATAGCATCACAGGAATTCTCCTTTATACTGAAGAACGTAAACTTTTTTTGAAGATAAATCTAGGGCGTATTTGGCGAAGGGAGTTGGCCTTAATAGGATCCCCCTTTCGTTTGGCGTGCTCCCCTTTTCGATAGCTTACCTGTTCTTGACTCAGGTATATAAACATACATATACCCACGTATCTGCGTATATATCTGCTCCTATATAAGCAGGGCACATTGTTAGGACAAACGACCCTTGAGATATATAAATAAACTGCCTCAAGATTAGTTTAAATGGTTGGCGACGTGCCTTTGCCCTCGTTTCGCAGATGCAACTGCAGCTGGTAACTGCATCCAGCCAGGAGGGCGACATCCCCTAATATATCCTCCGCTCCTCCGCCCATGCCTCTCAGTCACTACACTGAAAATAAAAATGGGTTTTCCCTACATACAATAATACAAATTTTTTCTTTTATGAAATATAGCTTTATTCCCAAAGCTCAAAAGCCTATACAAGAGAGCGCCTTTATTCTTAAATCAATACTAATTACTCTTTATTTATGATCGGATATAAAACACTGAAAACATTTTTCATAATTCGATGACTTCATTTTTTGATTTTAGTTCTCAAACACTAAAAACATACTTTTTCTATCTATGCATTATTATGTGGGTGATAAATTATTGTGTTAATTTTGACTCACTTAATATTTATAAAATGATATTTTTTAAGAAGCTTAAAGATATCTAAGTTTTGACTTAATACTTTTATGGCATTTTATATACTAAAAATTAAAATTTTAAAAATCCTGAGTACAATTTTTTTCAGTGCACCTGTGTGTGCGTATGTGATTGGCGTGTGTGTGTGCATGTAAAGTGGCGCTTATTCTAGCACTAACAGAGAGAAACCAACACAAAAAGCTCTTTGGCACTCGGCATGTCCATGGAGGGGGCAATCGGGGGCAGGTTGCCTGGCATAGGGGCAATGTGACCCCCAGCAAGCCGCCCCCTCTCAACACGCCCATTATGCTCATTATGTGCTTTGGTACTTGGCTCGTTTTTGTCTTTGCTTTCCTCGGTGTTGTTGCGTCTTCAACGTCTTCCCCTCGTGTTTGTTTGTTTGTTTGTTTGTTTATCTTGTTTATTTGCTTTTGTGCCAAATTATTTGTCGTTGCTTGTTCGCTGTTCTTATGCTACTTGCTATTTGAATGCTTATTGCTTTTTCCTGTTATTTTCTTGCTGGTTTCTTGTTTTTGTAGGGGCATACCAAGAATTTTGATTGTCCAGATTTCCCGCATAACTTTATTTGCTGTAGGATATTGTAGGTTTCATGATCCCAAAGGTGTCATTTAAGGTACGATCCTTGATAAATATATACAACAAGATTCATTGTATCTGTTTATTTCCAAAGAACTTCATAAAAAATATTTTGGAAACACATTTTTTTTTTAAATGTTAAATAATTTAAGAAATAATATTTATCCATTGCAAAATTGCATACAATAGCTTACTTTGAAATGTTTTTGAATCCGAAGGCATCAATATTATAGATTCTATACATACATATTTACGAATATTTTCAGGAAACGTAAATGTTTGTGTTGAATTTCCTGGTCAATACACTGATATATACAATTTAATAAATATAAGAAAATCGACCCAAATTCGCTATAAATTTAAGGCAGGCGGAAAGATTTTTAAAATTGTTGCATAATTCGGTGGGATTCTTTAGAATTTAAACCTTGAATGAAAACGTTGGTTTGTTTAAGAATATCCAAATACCCAATATCGCTACCTTATACGTATTACAACTTGTAAGAACCAATTCGAATAAAAAAATTAATTTCTCAATTGTCAGCATGCATATCCTTCGGTTCGCCCTCAATTCGACTCTTGAGCCAATATCCCCGTAAGCCGCTTGCCCTCGGCCCTTGTAAAACAGCAGAAACCACCAGTCAAGGGGGAAAAAGAAAAAAAACAGAGCAGCTTAAATGACAGACAGCTCCCAGTGCCCCGGGTGAAACCAGAGCGAGGAGCAGAGAAATGTCCAAAAAATGTCAATTTATTATGGCGAAATCAGCGCGGGACACACGCGGCCAACACGCGTGACCAGCAGCATAAGCCCACCCAACTTCCAGCTGCCAACTTCCAACTGCCAACTGCCACGCCCTCCTCCCAGGGGCCCATCTCACCATCCAGCGTTTTACCCAACTGACTGTGTCATGTGTATAAATACTTTTTAATCTGAATTATTACGGTCTGCAAGTTTTTCTTTGCTTGATTATAATTTATTCACATAAATTTCCATGATGCATGGCATTTAAGTGGCAGTGACAGGACCAAGAGCATTCGAACTCTTCCCTTCGACATTTTAGGAGGACTCTCGAACAAAAAACAAATCCTTCCCAAAGCCCTTTAACAAAACTGGGCGTGATGGACAAAAAAAAATTTAACTGAAAAGGACGCAGCCTCGAAAAGTTGGATCTGAAAATGGGATCAAGGGGATTGCTCGATTCGATTGTTTAATTACTCAAACAATCAATGAATTGGCAGCGAGTACGGGGTATAAATAAAACATGTTCAGCGGATGCTTAAGTGCAGATACAGAATTTACAATCCATAGCTTAAAGAAATAGTAGAATAAATAGAATGGTTGACAATTTCAAAAGGGTATAATTTTTTATATTTGAAAATAACTTTTTCTTAAAATATTTTATCAACCTTTTTTATTCCCTTTATTGTTTCTTGGAATAAAGGAACCCTTTTTTTGTTTAAACGATTTTTTAAATTAATAAACCAGAGATCTAAAGGATTTATGAATGTATATTTTATGGTAGTATATGAAAAATTATATATCAATCCAAATATTAAAATAAAATTTAAATAAAGCATACATTTCTCAGGGAAGAAATAACCCAAACAATATTTGTCAACTTGAACTCGCAGTGTTAATATTCTGACCGCAACTGTTTTCGCAATATTTGCGGGCGTGACACACTTCCGCTTCACTTTAAGGGTCTGTGGTCGCGGTCATCCGTGAATATCCACCGCAATTTGCTCATTCAATTTTAATTATATATAAAACATGTACGTACAACTTTTTCGGAAGTGTTCAACTGAAAACATGTTGCATAACCGAACAAGCTAGTAAAAATTCCCAAAGCCAACATTGTACGATTGCCATCTGTTCGATTTCTGTTCTTATTTCTCTGGGGCATGCACAAAAAAAAACAAAAGTTAACTATTCTTCGATGTTTTTCACTTTCCTATGTGTTGGCCAACATCGTCATCGAGCTGACCCAAGCTTATTGTAAACAGAATGTGATACCACGCAGACAAACACCGGAATATCGGACTAACACCCCCGCACATCCTATGAATGCACCACTAACTCTACAACCCATCCGAATTCCCAATCCCCAAGTCCAACCGCAATTCCTGCTCTATCTCCACACGACCATAGCACATTTGCACTTTGTCATTTTGCGTTAACTTTGCGCAAGCGTTTGCACCGCAAACTGTCAAAATGTGCAATTAGTTGGGTTAAATGGTTCACCTCAGCGATGAATCATAAGCAAGTACAGTGGAATTCGGTCTTATTTGCACATAAATATAACACATTTTGGGAAATTTAACGTTAAGTGGTCTTACTCGTATTAAGAATACAAATTTCACAATTTTTTTAGACTTTAAAGGTATTTTTGGGGGGATCAATTTGGGTTTGCTACTAGCACCTACATGATAAGGATATTTTAAAATGTGACCAGACTATGATTTAAAGAAAATACCAACATCCACAAATAGGGGATATTAGAAATCTTTGTATAACAATAAATCAAATATAAAGAAGTGCCTTATAATGATTTTAATATCATTGCTACAGACTTTGTTTAGAATTGCTTTCGAACATTTTTTAGGGATACCTTTTTTATAGGGAATACCTACTGTACTACCCTGTATATTCAGTAATGATCGCTGCAGGCTGGCATTTGCACTAAAATTAAAATTAAACATTGCAATCAAATTAAAAACCGCCGGGAGATAGAACTTTTATTCAATTACACTCGCCTGGCATTAATTAAACGTGTACGTTCGATTATTGGAAAATTCTCGGTCTCCAACAGGTCGTCGTCGTGTGTCAACTATGTCGTCGCGTGTTCCACTTTTCCGAGCAATAAGCTGACTTAAGCCTAAACGGCTTAGCGTCCCTCTGAGTGGTTTGCCATTTGTTGAGTGCCCGCCGCCAGTTTGTGTCTGTGTCTGCACTTCCATTTTAATTGAAATGCGAATGAACTGCACTCGACTCGACTGGATCTCCATTCCACACCGGAAAACCACCTGCATTCCAGGGCTGAGCTGCGCTGCATTTGCCCACCGAGTTATTTAATTAGGCAGGGCATCATGGCAGCATGCAGATTGCTCTTAGTGCTCGCGCTGCCAATTTCCAATTGCAACCCGCTGGCAAAACTGGGTCAAGTGCCCTTCCTCAATTACCACATTTGCCTGGCCATCCATATTTGGTCTATGCCATGACATTTTAATAACTTTTAATGCAACAGATTACGGTCCATTATGGCCAGTGGCAGATTAAGCTCATTAAAAATGGATATCATTTTGCGTTGATTTGATTGAAACGCCGGAGAGCGATGTATATTCGGAATGACCTGACATTATGGTTTCAAAACGGGACTACGGTTAAATACAAACAGTAGAATTTCACAACCATCGTTTTTCAAAATTAAAATTATCAGCAAAATATTAATCTACTTTGCGTTGAAAGGGTTTATATAAAATATTTTAAATAGTTCAGGCTTTTCTCCCTGTGTGATTGTAACTCTTTCAGAACAATGGATTAATTCACAATTTGTTGAGTTGTCCACATTCATAATTTGTAGAGCTGCCTTCAACACAACAATGCCCCCATTTGGCCTTTCTGGTTTGGCCGCCCACAATCTTTATATGTACGTGGCTATATGGAATACGTTAAAGGCCAGAGAATATTTCAATGGGTTTAATCAACTTTATTTTTGCTCTTGTCTTTTCTGTCACTGGAAAGTTCGTGACTTCGAACAATGGCGCCATGGCAAACACCGAAGCCCGAAAAATCGATAACAAGTTGTTTGTAATTGTTGCTTGTTGCTTTTATTGTTGCCGTTGTGGCCAAAGTTTTTATTGTTATTTTGTTTACGGAGGTTACTCGCTGGTCTGTGACCGAGACTTGTCCGCTTAACGGCAATTTAAATATTTTCTTTAAAAGGTTCCTTAATAAAAGGCATTTAGGTTAATAGATTGAAGCTAAGGTGAGTTTTTAGGGATTAGTTATAATATTTGATAGACTAATTCATCAACATGTGTTTTTCTATAACAGTTTGGATTATAAATTCAATTTAAAGTCATCTTGATTTGTTATATCTTAATTATAATTCAACCCTATCACCTGCAACCTCTTTGCATCTGACCAGCAGCTCTAAATTGCAATTAAACAGCCTGGGAAATAGTTTATCTCCCATCAAATTTAATGGAATTTTCAATTAACTCTGCCTGGCTTCAAAAGCGTTGGACTAACATCTAATTGGATTGCCGCTTGATTTGGGCGAAATTTCAAATTAGGGCATTAAAGCTGATCCAGCACAAAACGTGCTCGAAATGTTTGTCGGTCCGAGGATATTAAGTATCCGACATGTGGCCACGACCGCAACAAAAGCGCCCGCCCAAAAGTATGCAAATAATGTTGGCTGCAAATCTACCCACAGTGTCAACTAATTTGGCGAGCAGGCAAAAACTAGCAGCAAATTATTAAATTGACCGAACAAGTCGCACCAACAAAAAAGATACAAAACGCAGATACAGATACGGAATATGAAAAGTTGCTCCACTAGAAATTTGAAAAAGTTGAGAGCACAAAATGAAATGCACAGCGAACTAGACTAAGCCCAAGGAAAAAAAATGTGGCAAGGGAAGCAGAGGATGGGGGATTTGAGGATTGGTTGTGTTTCGGGTTAGTTGTTGGCTTGGACTGTCAGTTGGCGCCGTTTCCGGCCGCCAGACGATGGCCGGATTAACTTTGGCCAAGCTGCAGTCGTCGGACGCTTGAGCGCGGTTTGTGTAAATTTATGCCCCGGAAGGCATGAAGGATATCAGCGGGGAAGGCCAGGAAGGATTCAAAGGAAGCCCGGTATGAACTGATCTATGGTCAGAAATTTCTCTATTTTCTACCCTTTTTTTTTAAAGCCCTCTGCCTCGCTCAAAAAGTTCGCATTCAGCTAAAGTTTTTTGACATTTTCGGTGCACCAACCGAAACAAAAAGAAAGTCGAACAGGCGTTTAAAATAGATTGAGGTCAATAATTGTCCTGGCACATGTGGGCGGGTGGAACCGAGTTGGGGCCAAGGAAAACACGTATAGGCCATATCGGTACCAATTTGTATATGAGACCCATTTACAAGCCCACTTCTTGGGCCTTCCCTAGTTTCTATGCCTATTACTTTTGGTATCTGCCGCCTTGGGGTTTATTTTTGTGCTTTATGGCCAAAGTCACGTAAAAATCGAATAAATGTATAATGAAGACCCTGAATATGGTGGAGGATACCCCAAAGCCACTGAGCTTGGTGGGATTGTCTGTGTTTCCTGCGGTTTTCCTTTTGTTGAAGGGGAAAGGCCAGAGAGCAGTCTCACTCATGTCAAAGTTTTTCACTGGCTTTTCCATATGGTTGGGAATAAGCTGTTTGGGCAATCAAGCTTAAATTGACTGCGGTTTGTTCCCATGTTTTCCGTGTTCTTAGTCTGTAAACTTCTCTTAAAAGTATTAAAATAAATATTCTTTAACCCGCTTAAAGGAATGTTCTAAGCGGTTTCCTATATAATCCGCTTATACAATAAATACACGACTTCGAACATGCATGCAACCATATGTACATAACTAATCAGACCCAAATCATTCGGTCTCAATGGATGTCTGTTTATTCTTCAGTTTTCAGTATTTAGAGCAAAAGCGGAAATTGAATTTTTGCGGTCTGCATTCATTTCGGTTAGTGCAATGGCCGTTCGAGTCTTTGCATGTTGAATAAATGTCAAAATATAGCCAAACTTGTACCTACTTGAAAACTACATATACGTTTGGCCGAAATGAAAATTGCATTCCTGCCTGACTTGGCCACAAACTGACAACCACTACAGCAACAACTGGCAACAACTATGGGAGCCGTGAAAAGACAGCCAAAAGACAGCCTTTGACAGGCAACAATAAAAATTCGTTTGGCCCATTGACTGGCTGACTGACATTCGGTTTTTGGGTCTGGTCTAAACCGCTTACAGTAGGGTAAAGCTAGTTTTTCGGCCTGCTTTGTTATTAATTTTGGCAATGCATTTATATAAAATATTAGCTTGGAAGGAAATGTAGATCGTTGATATCTTTCCACAGAATATATTGATCAGGAATAAGAAACTTGGTACTGATTTAAAATGTTAGTACAAATATTATTTAATTGTAAAATATTACAAGAGGAAACAGACTTACAGAATTCTTTCTTGTAATATATTTAGTTAACCATATAGAAAATATTAGATTTATTAGAAAATATGCCCAATCAGTTTGAACGTGATCTACCCTACAATTCTTCGGCTGTCAATATAGACACTTGTCCATATAATTCACAATGGCATTGCAGGCAACTAATATTACGGCATTCTACAAAACCCCAACTTATGCTGCAAATTACCTGGAAAATTAAAGTTTTTGTGGCAGTCGTAAATCTGTTTCAGGAACCGTGTTATTTGGCAACTGACATTTACGGTTAGTTGTGCACGCAGGTGGGCGTGGCCGTTGGGCCGAAACAATCCAATATTGCCACATCAATCAAATCCTATATGTACGGGGTCGAGTGTTGATGCAGGCAAGTCATTGGAAACGACAATCAAGTGGGTGACGATAGATTTTTATTTTAGATTGTGGCGCGCCAATTGCTTTCGACGAGGTTAATTAGTTTTGTGGGGGCACCTAAATTGAAATACCGCCAAGGAGCTTAATGGTGATTTTCGTGGAAAAAGTGTTTTTAGCACTGTAATTTGACATTTGTTTTTAGGGAAGCTGCTGTTTTGAAACTTTTAAAATGTAATATGGTTATACCATATATTGTGTTGCAATCATCAAACGAAACTTAAAATACATTTTGAGATCTATAAACCTAATTACCATAAAATTGTTACAGACAATTTCCGTCATGTTCCCCCAGTGCAAACCATAAAAGCTACAGTTATGGAAAAAATTGTGTTTAAATGTGTTTTAGAGAAGGGGTGCACTAATAGAGGGTTTCGTGAAATTCAGCTCCAAAGGATACTGTAAGTCCTCTTAAAGATCGCGGAATTTTAGTTTTAATTTGAATTACTCTCACAGTTTCCAACCAATGCAGTTGATTTTTTATATGAATTAACAGACATAAGGTATTTTCTTTGTGCTGATACAATGTTAAAAATTAATTTAAATATTTTTCATTAAGGAGTCAAAATTACTTCCACAACAAATGTTAGAAATGCCCGATATTTAGACGAAGGATTATTGATACAATCGAAATCTAAACATTAACTTAGAGGCCTTTTTAAGTATACACATTTTTTATAAATTTATTATTAGATTAAAGCTGAATTTATTTACGAATTTATAAAACTAAACACAGTTTCCTTAAAATCGAACAAATATATGCAAATTCCGAGGTCCACTAGTTAAGGACTTAAGCTTATATTTCAAAGCAGCATTTGAAGAGATTGAAGAGATACTTCCTTGGACCGCTTTGACCGAATAAGCTGTATCTCGCATTACATAAGCTTTTGTTGTGTGATTTAAAGGATTCCTTTCTTTGCAGTTGTCGTAACATGGGCTGCGTCTTTGAAGCGGCCAAAGAGCAGCAGCCCCACAAACCGAGAAGCAAGCAATGCCGTGGCAAGGCGGCAGCGGGGACCAGTGGCAAGGCCGCTGTCAGAGCGAACGAGAAACCAGCTGAGGACATCAAAATCAAGGATAACTATCAACAAAACCATAAAACGCAAACCGAAACACAAACAGAGGCAGAAGTGGAACAAGAATCAGAGGCAGAATCAGAAGCCCAAACACAATCAGAGGCCGAAACTGTGCCCGAACATCTAAAAGCGACGGCTCAAGTGCTTTTAACGATACGGCAGGCACGTCAGGAGAACGGCAAGCACGGTAGTCAAGTGGCTGAAACGCACAAGGACGAAGGCGCGAAGGACGCGTTGGCGACGACGCCAGGATCCATTGTCGATACGACGGCCAGAATCGGAATCGATATTGCGGCAACAACGATTCAAATCGCCGAGCGGGATGAGGACGAGCAGCATCGGCAGCATCACACTGTCCGCCGGCGGAGGCGCCAGGACCCAGCGAATCCTGCCAGCGTCTCGAAGTCACCAGCTGCCATTGCTGGCACCTCAGCACTATCCCTGCATTTCCAAGCCCTCGCCGCCCTAGCGAAAACTCTGCAGAAGCAGGACGAGGACGACGACGACGACGAGGTGGGGTGTCCTGGCCAGGATCGCCAGCCAATAGCCTACCGGCCGTGGCAGGGACATCCGTATGCCGAGAGTCAGCTGCCCGCCACCATGTCAGCGGCCATCATAGCGAATGTCAGCGCCACGGCGGCGGCCACCTCGGCGGCAGCCTTCCAGTATCTCGGCCAGCACTACAAGCACTACAGCCAGTCGATCAGCTTCTACGCCGCCTCCAGCGTCATCCTGATGCTCTGCTATCTGACCACCGCGTCCACGGCGGCCACGCAATCGGAGACGGGTGCCCTCGACAAGCATCCCATGTGAGTGCAGGCCGGCCGAAACCAATACAGAGTCCCCGTAACCGTAGAGTTCGCCTTGATTTATCTCTTAACATTTTGAAAATATTAAGTAATAAATTAAAATGTAAAAAAAATTGAGGCTTCCGTTTCCGGTGTAGCAGCCATATGTTTTAAAGATAATCGATAAACAGGCTGCAATTAAACATTATACATAAATGAAGTAATAAATTAATATAAAAACATATTTGAGGCTTCCGTTTCCGGTGCAGCAGCCATATTTATATTTCAAAGATAGTCGACAAACAGGCTTCGATTACTTCTTATCGAAATCCGCCATTTCGTCTAACGGAAAACCACAGTTTAAACAGGCATCCGCCGTTTTAACTAACGGAAACGGATGGTAATGAAAAATCGATAGGAAATATATTTGTTATCGAGCGTTCAAAACCGGAAACGTAGGCTGTCAAATAATATAAATAATATAAATAATAAAATGATTATGAAAGCATCGATTGTAGTGTTAAAAACTTTTTGTAGTTTAAAAAACTAAAAGCTTAAAACAGATAAAAAATTCAAATTTATTAAAACGTTTAAAACCGAAAACTTAACAAATCAGATAACAACCAAACCAGAAAATTATTATACAAATACTAACATTAATTTCTGAAATCATAGCAGAGGTTTTTAAATTCCACTTACAAATAAATTATAATTTAGAGTATAAGTCAAGGCGGATTTGTTGCATTCATTAAAAAACTCCCAAATTCATTCCGGAACACCGCCATTTGATTTTGTTACCCTCGACACACACGCGCCTCTCTATTTCCCTAACTATCTATCTGTCTCTCCACAAATCTATCAATCTATATCGCCCGGCAATCCTTTCCACGACACGTACAAAAATTGTTCTATTTATTTTTTCCTTTTTGAAATTCTTTCAGTCATGGCATCGATTGGTCGAAGTAAGTTAATGCACACCTCCTTCCCTCTCTAAAAAAGATAAACCGAAACAAAGAAAATATGGAAAAAGAGCAAACTAGACTTTTTGGTTACATCTTTTACTCAAATTATGAAGTTTCGTTTTGTGCACACACTATTCTTTTTGAGTTTATTTGATTCCTGTTGAGGTAATTGGTTTTTCTCAGCTTCGTTCTGCTGATGTTATGCATGCGACTTAAAAACAAGTTTATGATTTGCACAAACTAAAATGCTTTGCAAACTACTACAAAGCAAATCAAGGACTTTCCAAGTTATCAGATAACTAGCAACATTTTTAATGTTTTTTTCAAACAATTAATAAATGCCACTTTGGTTATAAAATAGGAAAATTATTTTATTTACTGCTACTTACATATGAGATAAACGATATTATCTGTTAATTGGTTTTCTTGTTCGACTTATTTATCCACAAACTAGCAATCTTCCCATCTATTTAAAGCAGCACACAAAACTGTTGTATATAAAAGATTCCTTGGGAAAATAAACCAGTTTATACTTTGACTATTACTAACTCCAATTAATGTGCACAAATGCCAAACTAATTTTCTTGTGTTTTCCACAGATTCGATGAGTCCAGTTCGGACAAGGAGATATTAGATTTACTGCTTGAGAAGAAGCGCTACGATAAACGATTACTGCCGCCTGTAAATGGTAAGAAGTTTCAGAACTTATACTCCATTTCCACATTGTTGCGATTAAATTTCCAATTTTACTAAGTGGAGAGTGGGTCAAAACAATGTAAACTTAGTTTTTGTGCCGTTAAAAGTCGCTGTTCAAGGGGGATAGGGGATCGCTGGGTGTTTTTAGTCTTGGTTGCCGAATGACAACCAACAGACAAAAATTGCAGGATCCAAGTCTCGACGTATGGACAGTATAAAATCAATTAAAGTTAATGGGTCCACTGCCCTGGATGCGATGCACAAAAGAAGTGGGTTTGGGTGGGCACTATCTTCTGACCATCTATGCAATGCAATTCCATTTTCTTCGATATGTTTATGCTTTGAAAACCATTACATTACATCCTTTGGGCAGTCAGAATATAGGGAATGGGAGATGATATTAATGGGAAAACTTGATGAGATTAACAAAGAGCTTAAAGTTAAATATTTGTACTCGAAATCGTTCAGACTACTATCATTCAACTTTTGCAGATGAAGACTTTTGCTGTGGTCTGCAATCGCCCGATATGGCAACTAATCAAAATGCACGGAGACCACACAATCGCGGTTGGTGTACTCTCACGGATTTTTATATTATGATTGCACTTTCGTCTGACGTTTTATGTTTCTTCTTACTTTTGTAGAGATTGCTATCTTTTCTAAGATGTTTTATATTTAGTTTTCCGATTTCTTTTACTTTTTCTATTATTCTATTACTACATGTAAAACTGATTTGAACTAAAAACATCCAGAAAAGTTTCAAAAATCCATGTAGTTGAGTGCATTATTAGAAAGATTTTAGTTTTATCTATATGAAGATGGTATTATGTACCCGAAACTTTAGTTTCGTTTATATTGGGGTTCCATATTAAAAACCTATTTATATATTTGCTAGCTGAATATAAAATATATTTCTAGTAGACTTTTGCTTTTATTGCGTCTTTGCTAACTAGAATTTTTCTTTTTTCTGGCACTTCTATGGCATTTCAATAAAAACATTTTTAAGTAGACCCCTATTGTGTGTATTGAACTCCTTTTACTAGGCACTCTGACGGTGAACGTGAACGTGCTGCTCCTGAGCTTAGCATCGCCCGACGAAAGCAGTTTGGTGAGTCCGAGGATAATTGAAGAAAGTATGTATTTCTAATAGAAACGACTGTTTGCAGAAATACGAGGTGGAATTTCTGCTTAACCAGCAATGGAACGATCCGCGACTGCAATATGGCAATAAGTCTCATTACGACTTCTTAAATGCTCTGCATCATCATGACAGCATCTGGACGCCGGATACGTATTTCATTATGCATGGCGATTTCAAGGATCCCATCATACCAATGCATTTCGCTTTAAGAATATTTCGGAACGGGACCATTACGTACGCAATGAGGTGTGTGTCTGTTCTGAAGCCCGATTTGAATATGAATGAATTTTTTATACAAAACCGGAGACGAGGCCGGGCTAAGCGGCTTTAATGGCGCCAGAAAATGCAAATTTTCGCTCAAAGTTCATATTCATTAGGGAGAGCAAGATGACAGGCAGAGCGGCCATATTTTTTTATACTCTCTGCTTTATTCCGTCGCTTCTTTTGCTCAATTTTCCGCAGTTTTCCTTTTTTTATTTCTCACTGGCTAGTGGAAAATTTGAGGAAAGGGCCCACAAAATATGTAAGCTAGCAGGGCAAACATACGAGGCCGTAATGAAAAATAGCACAAGAAATGTAGAAGGTAGAGCAGAGAAATGGGTGAATATGAGTAAAATGTGAAAAAGGTAAAAGTAGGTATGTAAATATTTGGACAGGTACAAGGTACATACATCCCGACTCCTGGCCAGCTGCAAAATTCAGGCTCGTATGTTGTTTTCTGAGTAAAAAAAACGGCGAGGAACTTTTCACAATATGGCCAGCATTTGCTGGATGCTCATGTTTGTCTTCTTTTCCCCCATTTTCCCCCTTTTCCGCTTTCCCAACTTGTCTACATTTTTAATTCAACACAACTTTTCCAATTGACTGCATAGCGCAAAAGTGTCGTCCAGCAATTAAAATAAGTTGCAGTTGCCATTTACTTTCCCAGCTTTTCTGGTCCAGCATTTCCCTTTTGGTGTTTGCATAGCCGACAAGGAGAAACGTCGGAAAAACTTGCTGGAAAAGCGACAGCGACACGGGGTGGAAAATTATGAATTGATGCTGGCGAACAAAGCGAGATATTAAGTGGCAGAGACAAGCATGAAATTGCTCGAGGGTAAAATTCGAAGAATTATAGGGTCAAAATATTTTCACGGTAGATGTGCATCAGAAAACGTTCAAAAAAAAATCTTTGAATTACCTTTTCATTTTATCGCAGATTTGGTATGATATGAGTAAAGTTTAATAGTTCCCTGATGCCTCTGAATTTAAACCATAAATTTATTTATGTAAGTTATTATAGTACTTAAAGGTTAAACAGACAACTTAAGGTACTTGTAAAGTGTGTTTAGCTTATTTATTATGGACTTGTTTATAATATTGCTTGTGGTATCTCCTTCTAGACGTCATCTGATCTTATCCTGCCAGGGAAGTCTTCATATATTTCCATTCGATGATCCAAAGTGCTCCTTCTCCATGGAAAGCAGTAAGTGATATAATAAATATATAATTTAATTAAATTTTGTTTTTATAAGCCGGAAGGGTAACTGCACAGATAAATAAATATATAAAATACTTATAGGCTTATATATTTATTTACAAAAATAAAAAGCGATATGTGAATGTCAACCAGTCCCTTTTAATAATAAATTAAAATGCATTTCTTAACGAAACAAAAATTTTAAGAGAAATTAATCATATTCGTTGAAACTATGAATATATTGAAAAGTAAAAAGAAAGATGTCAAAAACAAATGTTGGGAGTAAAGCTATTTTTAAACACCACAACTGAGGAACCAGTAGGATTAATGTATAAATAATGTGACAATTCCGAAGTGTTGAAGGGGAACCTCAAGATGTTGATGCTCTGATGATAAAAAGATGGGCAGGCGAGCGTGTTGACTGCCACTCAGGGGAAATCTGTTCCTCTATCTGCATTCGTCCGTGTGTTTATTTGTCTGTGTTTATGCAACAATGGAGGAGGCGATGGGGCCTAAAGGGGCGTGGCACCGGCAAAGGGGGCCCAAACGACAAAAGCTGACAAAGTGACTAACAAGGCTGACTGCCTGCCACACAGACAGCCGCACAGTCAGCCTTGTTCTGGGCTTTTTGTCTTTACATTGTTTTCGAAAGTTGTTTCCGGTTCCCAGCCCGCTTGGAAACATTGGCTAAGAACGTGAGCAACATCGTAAATTACTTTGAGAGGATGATGATGTCGGTTCCTGCCGAGATTCCCATCTATGAGGGGGTAACAGGAACATCCATCGAAGTGTTGTGCCTTTTGCCTGCTTGTCAAACCTTGTTTGTCAAATATGATTTAATTTACTGGGTCTGGGCCCGAACCCTGACAAATGACTCAGACAATATGCGTTTGTGTACCGCTGCCTATTTACATTAATCTAATTAATTAATGGCATGATGATGGGATTACTCGGGGCTGGAAGTGTAATCCCATTGGGCAAACCAGTGTCTCTCTAACATGAATTCTTCTCTCGTCCTTGATTGCCAGTTTCCTACGAGGAGGCCCAAATCAAATACGTCTGGAAAAACGATGAGGACACTCTGCGGAAAAGTCCCTCGCTGACCACATTAAACGCGTACTTGATCAAGAATCAAACAACGGCCTGCGATCAAAACAGCTGGAGAGGTAAGTCATTGGGATCTCCATTCGACTCGATTGCCAATCACTTCATTTGCTTATACTTTGTATTAGCCAAAGATTTTACAACCAGGAAATTTTGCTCTTTAGTAACCGTAGTGTTTTATGGTAAAATGGTATTTCTTTGTACAACATACAAAAAGGCGTATTTAAAAAATAATTTTAGGTTCTTACAAACAGTTTAGTACTCCATTCTTTGGCTTGGCTTTTGAAGTTAATTTTTTCTTGATTTACTTTCGTAGTCTCAGGCCTCGGCTAGACGTGCTTTTGCAGCTTTTACATTTTAGCAAAGAATCTACAAATAAATCCAATGCCTATCTAATGGTCTACTCTTTGTCTACCCTCCCACTCCTCCTCTCTCTTATAAAAACCAACGCTACAAAACAACCAACAAAAATATCCAAAAACCAAAACAAAACAAATAATGCCCCTAGGGAACTACAGCTGTCTTAGGGTCGATTTAATCTTTACCAGAGATCGTGCATTCTATTTCACCACCGTTTTTATACCCGGCATTATATTGGTGACGTCGTCCTTTATAACCTTCTGGCTAGAATGGAATGCAGTGCCAGCTAGATCGATGATAGGTAACAATACCAAAATACCCACCAACCAATTAAAAAAAACAACCATAACCAATTTTTGCCCTCGCTCTCTCTCACACTAAACAAAACAAAAAAAAAAAACTCTTAATAAAAATACGTACTTTTAAGAATTTAACCGAACCAAAAATCAATTTTGTACGCCATTGAGAGTTGATTTTCTTTCCGCCTTTCGTAGCATTTGCCTTTTTCGATTGCCCTTCTGTAATGTAATTTGTACAATTTTATGATTTACAATTGTCACTTTTCCATTTAATTTTAAAGCGGCCAAAGTAGATGCAAAAATAAATAAGAATACAGTACCCACCCAAAGTATGCCCACACCAAAAAGATCTTAGAGTTAAGGTTTGCTGCATGGGTTCTGTTCCTTGAATGAGAGCCACCAATACCAATCCCACCCAAAATCTGAAAAGCAAAGCCCAAATTACCAAACACAATTTAAGTTTACTTTTTTTTCGGTTCTGCAATCAGATAATAGGTTAGCCAAAATAAGCCAAAACTCGGGAAATAGCATAGGCTAGTTTTAGGCCCTTTAAGGAAATTCCTTATAAATGCGTCCTCCTACCAAATAGGCCTCTATCTATCTATCTCTCTCTCTGTCTGTCTCTGTGTGTGTGCGTGTGTTAACCTTTGGCCGAATTTGCATAATTCCGGCCTTGTTTCTTAAGGTAATTACAGTTGCCTACAGGTCGAGTTGACATTTACCCGTGATCGTGCGTATTATTTTACAACCGTTTTCATACCTGGCATTATATTGGTCACCTCGTCGTTTATCACATTTTGGCTGGAATGGAATGCAGTCCCAGCCCGGGTTATGATCGGTACGTAGCAAAATCAAAACCAAAACCAAAAAAAAAAACAAATGAAGATCCAAATTCTTAATGAAGCAAATAGAAAACTTAACAAAAATCGAAGTCTTCCAAATCAATGAAAAAACAATCCAAATCACAATCTAGTCGTTTTCGAAAATGTAGCAGTCCAGTAAGTTCTAGTCCAAATTTAAACGCAACCACGAGACAATTGGCCAATCAAAAATTAAATATATTTAGAAGTGTTTTTTAGTCTAGAACAGCATAGGAACATTTAACTCATTTAAAATTCAGTTTAGCTAGCCGCTCGATTTAAATGGATTCTTTTTCATTTCGATCCATTTCTTGGACTGATTTAACCAATGTTGATTTTCTCATTTTGTACTTTCTTACTTCCTGCACTCGTATTTGGTAAACGCCCAACTCCTTTGAGTCCTTAAGCATTGCATGACCTCTTAACTTAAACTAGGCAATTTTTAAGCTTTGTTTTCTTTGAGAAGCTTTGGTAAAACCACATACGAAACAACAACTAAAGCATTCCACATACTACTACATCATGCTAAAAAGGCTACTCGAATTTATGTTCAAATAGATTTCGACACTAACATTTTAAAAGAGAGTTATTTAAAAATACAAAAACTAAATTAGTAACGAATACAAAATTATTTTAATAACAACGAACAATAAAAAACAAAGTGAATAAAAAGAAAATAAAAAATAATGAATATAATATAATAATATAAATAAATAACTACAAATCTTTAAGAATTCTGAAAGAAATATTAAAATGATCTTAAAATAATACAGCATATTTTAGTAATTTTAAGAATTATAACAGTTTTATTTCCAATGTGGGAAGATTTCCTTCTGTTTATGCCGAGTGGAGCAGGGATAATGCAATCACTGAGCTCTATGGCCAAAAGTGAGTGGGGGAAACCGAAATGAAAATAATGAGAGCAACGCAAGGGAATGTCAGCCGAAACATCAGAATCCCACGTCGTTGGCAGCTGCTCCTGAACAGGAGACACAGAAATTCGGACACGGCCGTATCCTGGTATTTTCCACGGCTTGTGGCACATTCCGCATCCGCAGCCCTGTCCCTTTTCCTGCGATGACGATGATGATGATGATGACGTGGACGGTGGCCACATCATACATGATGATTTATGCATAAGCCATATGGGCCACATGGACTAGGCAAATAGAACAGAAAGCTCTCAGTGCGTGTAATGCAAAAACTACAAAGTTGGGGCAGAGATGAAAAACTAGCAGTTGGGGATTATAAAAAGCTTAGTGCCTGACTTGACTTTAAATTGCAGTATAATATTTGCACTAAGAAGGAATACAGATAGGAGTTGGTCATCACTATATTTGTTTTAAAAGTATTATATATATATATATATAAATATGCTAAGTTATAATAGCACTGGATCCGCATACATAGATTGCTATTTGATTCTCAACCTCACTTTTGATGAAACTGGCATGATTTACATAACTTTTGCAGTAATAATGCACTTGAGATCTTCCGCTGACAAAACGACGACAGAGCACTCAAATGGCATTGTAAAATCGAATGGGGGAAGGATAATTCCATTTCTGGCTGCCATTGTCTGCCCAGAGCAAACACAATCAGACGACATTTCAATGACAAAGGGAAACTAAATAAATAAATAGTCAAAAAACGGCGAAATGGCTTCGGGACAAGCGATGCCGTTTTGTAAGTCGAAGTGCTGACATTGCATGCATTTTACAGCAGCTCCTTCTTAGCATGGCAGCATCTTTTGCCTCATTTGTGACCCGTTTTCGAGCTTTTCCTCGAAGTATTTGCAGTTGAGTGCAGCGTCGTGATTTTCCCCGTTTTCCCTGTTTTTCTTGGTAAGAGTAGGGCGGATACCAAAAACGCTGGCAAATTGAAAATCGATGTGGTTCGTGGATGCAGCGAAGCGGATGCTGAAAGAGCTCCTTTCGGCATGCCAAACTAGTTAAATTCCCCTGCATTCAGCCAGCTGGCGAATTGTTGACGCAACTAATTAGGCAACCAAGATTGATAATGTCGCATATCCAGCTCCATTGGCCAATGGCATTTTTATGTCGAACGGTCATGAGCTGAATAATTAATATTAAATGCCAGCATTACCCTTGATTAATTCGATTCGGACTTTCGCTTCTGTTGATGGGAAAAAAACTGATTAATGAAGCAAAAAACTTAGTCATTTGCAGCCAAATAAAATATTAATGTAAGGGAGGTACTTTTTAACACATCATTGTGATTAATTAAATTATTATTTTTTGCGAAAGCGCTTTTAGATTTTTTATATTGAAATAATCATTTTAAACAATTAGATTAATGACTGAACGTCGGATTATATGTGAAATCATTTTTTAAACATTCATTTTCTGCAATTCTTGACTTTTTACATAAAACCATACTTTTCGCAGAAAGCCATAAATGTGTAATTAATTAACCGTCACTGTAAATCGGTTTTAAAAAATACAGATTTCACCTATAATTCAACGAATGGTAATGAAATATATTAACATTAAACCAACAGTCATAAAATGTAAAATAAAAAGAATAAACAAAATATAAAGACTATTAAATGACATGACGTAAAATTTTGTGTGAAATCGTTTATGTTAACAATTTTCAGCCATATCCTAATCGAATTATAGCCAAATATTATTCTAATTTTGTAAGCAAATTCGAGTCCCATCAAGGATTGTTAAAAATTAAAAGTAAAAAACGAATTCACATAAAACCCAAAGTCTGATAGTGACACACAAAAATATAACAAATTTTAAAATACATTAAAAACCATATAACAACTATCCCGAACTTAAAAACTCTTGGAAAAATAACTAACAAAAGTACTCCGCCTTAAAATATCTTTGATCTTTGCGACACCACAGAAAATAAAATACATAAATCGAATGCTTAGAAATAATGCCCCTCATCAATTTAGTAGACTTGTTTACTTTTCCCTAGCTTTTGCACATTTATTGAACCACAAAATAAAACCAAACAAGTGAAACAAACACTGTATGACATAACGAATCCTATTCTCCGAGTACCGGACGGTAAAGCTGAAACTAAAAACTTTTGTACATATGCCAAAACTAATTAAACAACTCAACTAAACGCCACAGAATTTATACGAATACATCCTGCCGCCCCAGACACCTCTTAAGACCCCCTTGCCCCGCCCCAAAGAATGCAATGCTTTTCTAATTACGTGTCAAACGGCTAATGCAAGTTTCTCTACAATTACCATCCGCCCGATGAACAACTTTGAACAACTCTGAACAACTGCGAACAACCCCAAACAACTTGAACGAACAACCTGCGAAGGCGTGACAACCATGCTGAATTTCTTCACTACCTCGAACGGTTTCCGGAGCACTCTGCCGGTTGTTTCTAATCTGACGGCGATGAACGTGTGGGACGGCGTCTGCATGTGCTTCATCTACGCCTCCCTGCTGGAATTCGTCTGCGTCAATTATGTGGGGCGAAAGCGGCCCCTGCACAACGTCGTCTACCGGCCCGGCGAGAATCCCGTAACACAGGTAAATTAAATAATCATTTAATCCGATTCACACCAGGCAGCCCCGACCCGAAAAAAAGCTAATTTCGTATGCATTTTGAAAGCAATTAAATATGAATTTTACATGAGCGTGCAAAGCCAACAAAAAACAAAAAAAAATCGTATTATACCTATAAAAAACAAACAAACCAAGCAAATGAAATAAAAACACACAGCGAACACAACAACCAACATTCGTACTATATAAGTTATTCAAGTTATTTGTTCTTCCTTTGTTCAAGAAGCCAGCAACACCTGAGCCCAAGTCATGAAACAACAAAATACCAAAAAATATATAAAAACTCAGACAAAACAATTCGATTTCCGCCATTGTGTTGCGTCCCCCTTTCTCTCTGTCTCTCTATCTATCCGTCTATATCTCTCCTTTTCTCTATATCTGCGTATACCCAACTTTTGATCACCTATCCGTGTACTGTCCAGTCTTATTTGATGGTCTTTAGTTAATAGAACCATTGTCATATCTACATTATCAACTTCAAAATGCTCGCTATAAAAACTCACTTTGTGTTGATCCCTTAGCATTTTGTATAACAACTTTTTAAATCTATACTAAACGTAAACTTGTGTGTCCTACGAATAACGAAATGATTTAAACCGAAACTTCCATTTGATTTTTGTCCACACACTACTGATTTGATTTTGATTTTTGACCCATCCTATATAAAGATACTGTCTATGTATGTGTATTAATTGTGCCGATGCTCAGTTGTATTATTTGTTTGCATTTTTATTAACCCAATGGAGTGACATTTGCCCCGAGAAATGCCAACAGCCAATCCTCCCTTTCGATAGAAACCTAAACATTTATTTTCTGTTGTTTCAATTATTTTCTAAGTGTTGTATAATACAATCGTTCGTAAGGAAAACAATGCGTTTTATTCATCTCCAATTAGTTTGCAAATATTTTAACAAACCCAAACTTAATATGAACAATAATAAAATAATTGAAGCGTTTTACATGCCCGTAGGTAGGTATGTTTATTTATGTTTTTCATTGTTTTCTAACGAAAATGAAGCCACAAAAACTAAAATTGAAAAACCAATTAAATATGCATTTTGTTTTTACGTAGGCACTTTTCGAATTAAGAACCGAGCGTTCAATGCACGTTAAGCATTTTTGTTTGATGTGATTTACGAATTTGTAATCCTGTTTATGGGAATTCATTTAAGTGGCATGTTACGCAAAGAGATTACATACAAAAAAACATTTTAATAAGCTGATAGTGCCACTTAAATAAATGCCACTTTTTAGCCCCATGCATCATAAATATACCTTATATTTTAAAACGTAAAAAGACGTCTGCGCGACCGAAAAGAATCGAACATTGTTCCCAATTTTAGTGATATGCAACCATTCGAACATTCGAACAGCCACCAGCAAAATTCAATTTACTCTCGAAATTAGCAGCCAAGTGAGAACTGAACAAACAGTAGCGAACGGCAAACAGAAAACCAAACCAAACCCAATCAAATGACAACCAAACCAAACTTAAAGTGTGTTTTGAGTATGAACATTGTTTTGTGTACATTTTTGCAGCGTCTTCCAGCAGTACTAAGCAGGATCGGAGTAATTCTTGCAAGTCCTTTGGTAAGCTATCAACCACAACTCATGCACCACCCGCCCCGCCCCCTGAGAAAACAGAAAACCCCAACAGAACCATTTAGCAGCAAACAGCAGCCACAAAAGCCCCCAACTAAACACACTCGATCCAACTAAGAAACACACACACACTGTACACCCCCCACCGAGTCCTTTTCCCCCCTCCCCCCGACCAAACAGCGAAAAGTAATCCTAAGAAAAATGGCATGCGAATTTCGCTTTGATGAAATGCATTGAAAAAGTTTTGTTTCGATTTTGGTTTTTGTGTTTCCCCCCCAAAAAAAAAAAACAACAGTGTTTAATTTGATTTTCGAGCCAAACGGAAAACCAATGAAAATAACAATAACTATAATTCAAATTTAATAATTACCTAGTAGATTCGCACTCGCTTTCAATGTATATAACTCCATACTTATTACATTAATTTTGTTCATAATTTATTTACGTTTTTGCGTTTTTGAACCAATCATAAACAAACTCGTTATGTGCTTAAACACCTGACAGCCAGTTCTACGCATATTTCATATGCGTTGCATAATTGTTTTTGATGAATCTATTTACACACGACCAACAGCTGAAACGACAACTTCAACCACAACATAGAAAAACTCATGATGAAAAATAAATATAAAAAATATATATATATCAATAAAACACACTTTAAGGTCACTTACAATTGGGAAAAATGTTACGAGAGAAAATTGTAACAGAAAAGCGAAAAAACGATTACCAATTAATATGGAAAAAATTCTTTATCTTCTTACAAATCGAAAAAAATTTATCGGAAAAGCTATAAATCAATTCTGTTATTTGCCCCTGATTTACATTTTAATTTTACTAAATGAATTTTGCCTTGAATTTGAAATCTACATTCGAATTAAGTTCTTATTGATTTTCTGACACCGCCCTCTGCCACCAATAAAACAAATATTTTTTTGGTTTACTCAACAAAAAAAGCGATATATGGTGCCGGAAATGTTGGCCACTATTATATATGGTATATATGGTAGTAGCTGAAACATTTTAGTTTTTGGTTGTTTTGTGTTGTCTGTGTTTGCTTGAAAGCTTTTTGTTTAGGCGTATGGTTTTAGAGCATTTTGTGCATCTGTATGTTTCTCAATAAATATAAAAACACTCATGTAATTTATAAACGAGACACCAGAAACATCGATAAATGCTCCTAGGGGTATCCTTTTAACAGAAAGGTTAAAATTACAGATACGTGTGAAATTAGCAAAATAAAATAAAGGAAAAAAGTAGTTTAAAAAGGCATGCCATATATATTTTTTAGTACTTACAATTTTATGATATAGTAAAATTTTTTGAATTTTTATACTTCTATAAACAGTTTTAAAAAATAAATAATTCAAGGCAACACCTTAAAAACTTGACTGCAAGTTCAGTTATCTTAGATTTTTATAAAGTTAACAATCTGCTAGACTAAGGGTGGTCGAATTTAAAAGACAGTTGTAAACAATTTAAACTGGAATTACCAAATACGAAAAAACAAATCAATACGAAAACGAAAAACAAGAGTCCACTAATTTGTGGCATTACCTAACCAACCTAACAAAAACCGCTTGAATCCAAGTAACCTCTCTCTTGACAATGCCCATCAATTAACCCAATTACTCTTGTGGCCTTCGATTATCCTGACTAAAACCACCTGTGTGTCTCTCTCCGAAAATTGTCTTTCTCTTCCTCGCGTTCGAAAACAAAAACACTCTCAAGAAACCAAAGCTCAGAACCAATCCAAAACAAAAGACTATCCCCATTCAACCAACCTGCTCTGTAGGAAATAATCGAACGCGAATTTCATGCCGCTTTTGTCCTCCGAAAAGGCAAGCGCCGCTGCCACGCCGGCCATGTCGATGATGGGCGGTGCCACGCCCATGTCCGCTGGCACCCCGGCCGCCTCCTCCTCGGTGGCCACGCCCGGAACCCCCAGGACCACCGATCCGGAGGAGTTCTTCGGCGGCGGCATGCGCTGGCAGGAGGCCCATGGCGGTATCATTGGAGCTGCTGTTCAGAACCTCCGGGCACGCTCCATAAAACGGAAGGCGGCCAGAAGTCCATCCACATCCATATCGCCCCATCCCAGTGGCAGACCCACTGAGCATATATACGAGGAGCCAGGCGGAACGACTTCCGGTGTTTCGAGTACCAAGGTGAAGTTCAAGGACGAGCTGAGGGAGGAGGAGGAGCAGCCCGAGTCCACCGCCACCCTGCGACGATCGGTGGCCACCAGCACACCGGCCTTGGTGGTGAGGATCGAGGCCGAGACCGAGACCGAGACCGAACTGGAGGCAGAACCGAAGCCGGTCCAGGATGTGGAGGCCACAGAACGTCAGTTGCGCCTGCCGCAGAAGCCTCCACGCCGCAAGGCCTCGCGCTCCAATTCCCCAGCCTCCGTTTATGACGATGCGTTCGAAAATGTGGATACTACAGTGAGTAGAGGACACACCAGAATCGCTCCCGAGACTAACCGAAAATCCACCAAAAGTAACCTTCATTCTTGTTGTTGTTTGCACAACCGACTAATAACTAACCATAACAATGTACAATAAGCCGGAGCCAAAGAAAAACGTCAGCAAGAAGAAAGTTTGGCCAAAAGGCGAACATCGAAGTTCGCCTCCCCTCTCACTGAACTTGATTGCCTGCGGTTATTTTGATTGCCATTTGCCATTTTCGAAAAAACACCCACAAAATGCACCCAAACACCCCCAAACACGCACACTCAAAGTTGGATTTTTTGCCAAAAACTTGCAATTGAACTTTAATGAAATACTAACAATGACTAACAAGAGTAACTGCATTAGACATGAGCCATTGGTAGCCAAAGGAAACAGAAGGTTAAGCAATTAGGGCTTAAAGTGGGGCAAAGTTGTCTTGGAAAATCGAACGCAAGCAATGGAGATGTTTTCCCAACTAATTACCCCTAGCCTAAGTGATTTAGTCATTAGGTCACTGAAGAGGACACTTGCGCTCCAAGGGTTTTCATTGTCGTAAACTATTAGCTATTTAAAGATAAATATCCGAATCTGGGCATCTCAGCACTGATAGAAAACGTAGTAAATCCAAGGATTTGGTTTTAAATTTAAATATTTTTCACCTATTGCGGTATATATTGACTTATTTAATTTATAGATTTTATAATTTGAATTTAATATGAATTTATTGTTTTTAATGACGTAAAATCTTAAAGATTTAATAAGTAATATTTACTACCTTGGTTTAAAAATTTAATATTTTAAAATTAAATCACGCAATTTACTATGATACTCAATTTAAATATTTTTCCTATTGCGGTTTTTATTTACTTAATAAAGTTATAGATTTTTAAATTTGTATTTATTGTTTTTAATGACGTAAAATCTTTTATATTTAATAACTAATACTTTCCACCTTGGTTTAAATAATAAATATTTTTAAAATAAATCACGAAATGTATTATGTTTTATTATACAACATTTTGATCTCAACATACAGATATTTTTTTTTTACAATTACATTTTTTATCAGTGAGTAGATGTAATATTCGTAATGACCATTATCTTCCAAATAAGTTTTTTTATAGACAGAGATATTTTAGAAATATCACTAAAACCTAAGATATCAAAGTGGTGTTATAAAGTGGCGTTAAACTTTTAACTCAACTATTCGTCCTCGAGATTTGCAACCAATTTCCAGCGCATAAATCACGAAACTTCCCCCAAAAGTCCCCAAGTAAATCAAACTTATCGGAATGGAAAAGGAGAGCCGGGCCGCCATCAAGATAGGAATAAGGCAAATAAAACCAACTCAAGTGGGCGTGATGAAAGACCGTGTTCCAGGCAAAACTATTTTATGGGAAATTGTGAAACGCTGACGACGACTTCCGACAGAACCAGAGCATGAAGGAGTTGCAGCCGGGCCAGAACAGGGAAAACCGTCAACAACAAGGTGGCTGGAAAAATGTTTTCCACCATTAGCATGTAAATTAAAAATGGTGTACGCGTTTAAATTGGCGCCCGGCCAGGTGGACAACGGGATGACTGGGCCGCAACAGGACAACATAATTATTCATGAGCGCCCCAAAGTGGAAAATGCCGTAATGAGCCCGAGAGCACCGGAAAAACCAACGACACGAGAGTGGAAACACAAACAAATGGCAGCAAGGATGCGAAGGATGCGGCCGAGTCGGAGAAGGAAAGCCAAAATGAAAATGAAAACAGAACGCGTCGGTACATGCATCATAATAGCCGAAAATGTTCTCGAAAGGATGCGCAAGGATTTTCCAGCGGAAAAGTTCGAGCCCGGCATTTTAAAGCAGCGCGGTCCCCTTCGGGAGTCTTATGCAAATACGAAAAGTTCGGAAAGCCGAAAAAATTCACCAGGGAAGATACTTTTACTTCACACTTTTTCCCCCAATGCTAATTGCACTGGGCATATAAATCTTCGCTTGTCATACATTTTTCCGGTTTTTCTCTCAGTATTGTGTTAATAAAATTAAATGGCTAAATAAGAACCTTGGGGACCACTTACCAAAAATGTATGAGAGCTCTTGTTGTTGAAGAAGTCTCGCAATTTTCATGTAAAATACTTTAGGAAAGTATTATCATGTTTTAAAAAATATTTAAAAGCTTTATCTGCCAGAACATTAAAATAAAATCATCCTAACATGCCAATTTAAATCAATATTCCCTCTTAAAATTTAAAAAATTTAAATATTTATATTAATATATATTGCAAAATTCAATGCAATACCTTTATAATCAGCTCTTGAAGCAACGGTCGTTAAAAATGCCTTGTTGATTTTGAAGAAATTAACGAGAAGCAAAGTTCTGGCACAGCTACCCTGTTTTATTTAGGTCAGCCACGTTATCCGGCTCTCTGGCTGCTTAAACACACCCGCATAATACATCTTACCTAAGTAACTGTTTCCTCCCAGCCCGTTTTCCCATTTTCCTGCTCTCCCGACTTTTCCATTTTCGCAACCCCTTCGGCCACCTTTGGCTGCATTTGTGCACTCGGCAAATGGCCGCCAGCTGCTGGCAAACAAAGACAAGTCAGCTGCAAGCCCAACGCCCCCAAAAAGCACCCACCCATCCAGCCCTCCAACCCCCTGGAAAATCCACTTGATTTTTCCCCTGGTTCGTTGGCGTTTTTAGATGCAACTTGGGGTAGTACGTGCCACTGTAGCTGCAATAAATTGTAGCATACTTGCGAGCGGACGCAGTTAATTTCTTAGCCTGCCACCTACGACCCATTGGACAATTTATATACCGCTCACAAATTTTTGATCTTAATTAAGCCCAGAATTTCCATGAAACAGAGCAGTAATCAGGCAGCACTTGTACATGTTTCCTGCTGAAACAGCTGAGCTTTCAGAACATAGTCTTATTTATTAAGCTAACAATAAATATATCTTGAGACCAACTTGTATTGTAAAATATAAATGTTACACAACTTTAGTTACTTTTTCAATGTGTGCTTGTATAGTAAACAGCCTGTGTATATAGTACCAGTTATAAAGCCACAAGCTTCGATTTTACCCCAACACCTCTGCCTAGAAATATCCAACATAGAGCACGCTTAACCCACACAATAAATGCACAAAACTCAACAGAAATTTACCTAAACTTACCCTGTATGTGTTCATAGTCAATCATTAAAAATATTCGTGTTCATAAATAATAGAATGCCGCCCCAAATAAGCATCCTACATACCACACTTAACCTACAATAAACACTTTTATACATTCTATAACTAAAACTTAAATATTGTTTTACGAGTTTAATACTCCGTTTAGTGTTTTATTTAAATTTGAAACTTAAATTCTCATCACATTTGTGTAATTTTTAATTTCAACCTACTTAAAATGAAAACACAGCAAAATTCTCATGCCATTCTCATATCAATCAAAATACAAAATTCTATACAAACTGCTATAGCTTAAACAAAAATAACAAATGAATAAAATACTGTACGTGCAAAAAATTTAGTAAAATTTGAAAAAATTCTATAAATTCAATTAAATTGCGCTGTGGTTATAAATGACTGCCAGGTACTAAAATCGAATTTGCTCTTTTTTGCTTTTTCAACTGCTGCCACTGAAATAAATACAAAAAAATAAAATAAACATTTTAAAGCCCGTAAGTATGCTCACCTTACAATTATAGTTATATTTCAAATATTTCCGTAGTTCAATTTGTAAAAGCATTTGAAGCGCTTTTGTGATAAATTTCGTAGTGATTTTGTGCCACTTGTTTAATAAACTTTAATAAATAAACTATTTTTCTACCTTTTTTTCATATATTTTTAACATACTTATACGCTTTTTGCTGGGTTTTTGCAAAAACGAAATGCAAACAACCGAAAAATAACCAAACTGCAACTGCCAAACCAATTTTACGTTTTTTTTTCCGTATGCGTATGTGTGTGTATGTATGTGTAAATAACTCCTTTTTCACCAATTGTATTTGACTTGTAAAATTGCCAACTTGTTTGCCAACCACCACCATGGCCCAATGAAAATTAACGAATAAGTTTTTTAAATTTACCGCCGTCTATCAGGGCGAGAAGCGACGAGAGGCCGGGGCCCCGAACGAAATCGTGGCATGCACCACCTGCGGCGGCAGCAACAGTCCGTGCACCCATTCAGCGAACAATGGCTGTGCCACGGAGGTGAGACTACCCCTAGTTATCCATAAAAACTAAATCTGAAAATTGGTTTCTCTAAAATGGTAAAAATATGATTTCTAAGGAATAGTGGAAAAGAAATCCACCGTATCTTATCATCTTGAAACTGGATACAGAAATTTTTTCAAAATCTTAGAAGATTGTTTTTCATTATATAAAAAGTATTTTTAAAATCCCAAACTAGTTCCTAATGTCAAATACAGTTTTCTTTTTTTATCTAACAATCTTAAGATCATAAACAATTTAAACTGATTTTGGATTTATTTTCAAAAAACAACAAGGATCTTTAGATTCGTTTTAACTTTGATACCAATTTAAATTTTTAAAATTCCGAACTAGTTCTTTATGTCAAGTACAGTTTTTTTATCTAAGAATCTTAAGACCATAAACAATTTAAACTGATTTTCGATGTATTTTTGAAAAAACCACAGAGGTATTTAGATTCTTTTTAACTTTTCTAAGGAATAGTGGAAAATATATCCACCGTATCTCATCATCTTGAAACTGGATATAGACATTTTTTTAAGATCTTAGAAGATTGTTTTTCATTATATAAAAAGTATTTTTAAAATCCCGAACTAGTTCCCAATGTCAAATACAGTTTTCTTTTTTCATCTAACAATTTTGGATTTATTTTCAAAAAACAACAAGGATCTTTAGATTCTTTTTAACTTTGATACCAATTTAGAGTACCTTGAGTACCATTATTAAAATACCTGAAGTTATTTTTGCCAAGGAGAAACTAATTTTTGGAACCCTTTTGGATAAATATTCACTACTTTCCATCTTCCTTCCAGACCTGCTTCGTCCAAGTGCGTAAAAAAGAGCCACCCCATCCGATTCGAGTGGCCAAGACGATCGATGTCATCGCTAGAATTACATTTCCAACTGCTTATGCCATTTTTCTGATATTCTTCTTTGTACACTATAAAGGATTTTCGTAAAATTAAGCATAAAACACTAAAAGTAATGCATAACATACATATATAGATACTTGAACACGCTAAATTGCCGGAGCAATGCCAGAAAAGCAGACTCGAGTGCCGAGAGAATGCATTATTCGTAAAGTAATTTGTAGAGCAACATGCAAACTGACATGAAAACTCATTTGCTAAGTTCTAGGGCCTTGCAAAGTCATCTAATTTTAATGTAACAAAGGGAAACACAAAGTACATCTAATTACTCATTAACGATTATTTAAATGGCAACAACATGACAAAACCAGTGATAAAAACGTCAAAATGAAAAATTAGTTTAAACTGAGTTGTTAACGGGGAAAAACAAAATGAATAAGTTGTTAATAATTAATATTTACGAAAGTTAAATTTATGCAAGTGAGCAAACATACGAAAGAAACATTTTCGACTGCCTTTTTTAAAAATAGTAGAAACAAACCAAAAAAAAAGAACGAACCTTAAATTAAATTTGCAAATTTTTGCATATGCTCGAAAATGCATTAGTTAATTATACCAACCAAAGAAACACTGTCTAGCAATTGTAATATATAATATTTAAACAATTTATTAAGCAAAGAAATGTATGCTGAAAGTACCAAAAACACGATCCAAGAAGATAAAAAGACCTAGCCTATAATTATGAAATATGAAACGCAAACCAAACAGCTTTAAGGCTTTACCTATTTGAGTAGTCGAAAGATGCAAACCTGTTTATACACATATACATAGATGTTATATATTTACAAACAGCTCTAGTCAAATATTATGAAATTAAAGCCCAGTTTTGTTCCATTCAATTCAATGAGTTGAAGTGCCTCCGCATATGTCAAAGAGTAAACAAACAGAACACACAAATTGTTATCATCACACTGATTTTTACGTTATAATGTACTGTATATAATATTTATTTAAATGTTTAGTTAAACTCCGTTTATTTTTTCAATAAATGTTCGATTAATAAAGCAGAATTTGATTTTATCGCATCACATAACACATAAATTCATAGAAATGGAACCGCCGCAAAGTAGACCACAGTAAAAGCTTTCCTAAACTAAAATTCAGGTGAAATTAAAACACGCAAAATAATTTGGTTTTATAAGAATGTACTAAGCAAAAATAGTTCACTCACGAAATTTCCCACACCTTCAGAGATTCATTTTATTCAGTCCATGAACGCCTTTTTAAGTAGCAGCAGGAATTGCCTAACAACTTTTATTAAAATACATATCAAGCTCATAGAAGAAACATAAACGAAAGCTAACTAAAATATTTACAAAATATATGACAAGAAACTTTATAAAACTCTCATAAGTAGCTATGAAACATATGCCAACCCAACTATAAACTCACAAAACTAACACCCAAGTATTTTAGATAAAATGTATGTCGACGAACGCCTGCAAATGTTTGTAGGACAAATAAAATATAAAAAGAAACCCAATGAAGCACGACCTAATTCAAACAAACTTAAACCTAAACCAAATTTAAACCTTGTGATAAAGAACACAAAAAAGAAACCTAAATCTAAACGAACCTTTGCATACGAAATTTTATTGAAATTAATTGAGAGCAGGTTATTGAGGGCCACAGTTACCAATTGTTTAAACAATATTACCTTTATAGAACACAATACGCGTATACACAAAATGCTTTTTGCAAATAAATAAATTTATGAATTTAGAGATTTGTAGATTTTTGGGAAATTTTCTTTTCGCCATTTTTGCAAGCTCGTCGCAATTATTTCTCGTTGAACAAAAAATATATATAACTAAAATACCACAAAAAAGAAAAAAAACACAAAGACAAGGACAATCTTTTTGCAATTTACAAAAACGAAAAAGTTAATTAGATGAAAGGAAGTGCTAAGTCAACTTTCAAACAAGCAATGCCGAATAATTTTGAATCCTTTTGTAAAATTAGCTGCTTATATAGAACACGAAATACACAAAAACTGAACTCCAAATTCATCGCGTCCAAGGATAAATATTTTTGTTGCGGAAAAATAGTCAAGGGTACGAAATGTGAGTGGAATTTGCTGAATATGTGGCCAATATAAGGAATGTACAAATAAAATACGGTAAAGATGGACCCTTAGAAACTATATTCGATTCGTTTTTTGAACAGCTTAACCACGTAACTCTGTTAAATGTTAGTTAGCAATCTATTTGGGTGAAGGTGCCTTCTTTAAGAGAATTAAAAACTAATTGATTGCTTAGATGGTTTCAAGCGAAACACAGTTTGAGTTGTTATGGATGGGAAACCGACCTATGTGCCCCATAACGATTTCAGTTTGGGATTGTTTTTAACTCCTCACAAGCTACACTGCTGATAAAACAAAGTAGAAGCTAAACCAAAGACCAGTAACATTATGAAAATGTATTTAAATGAAATAGATCTAAAAAAAAGCCATAAAAGTTCACACTTAAAAAAGCATTAATGAATTTAGCAAAACGAGGATTAATAAAGAAAACACACAATGTTCAAATGCATTAAAAAAAATCTGTAGATGTACTCATGAATAATGTGTGCAAAGTGCAAATTGCAAACACATTCTAAATTCTGAATACCCAAAGCTTTATAATTTATAAATGCTATGAACGAAATGTAAATATTAATAATTCAAGACAGTTAGTAGTTAAATCATTTTATCGATAACTTTAAAATAATTTCTTTACAAGTAATATTTGCTAAATCTATAAAAGTCAAACTGAACTGTTTGCTAGAGATTTGTTAAAAAATATATGAAAAAGTTAAAAAAAGAAGAACATGTTGAGCCATTGGGGCAATTTCTGTTGTCCAATTTATTTCACATACGAGTAGATTTCTTAAAGATCAATTGCAAAAACAAAAACTCCACAATGCTACGAAACGTAATAATTATAATATGAACTTTTTTATAATGCACAACCTTGAGCATAATAAAAACCAATTTATTAACATTGCATTCCCAAACGAACATCATGTAAATACACCAAGTACATAAACCAAGTCAAAACTTAGTTATAAACGAGAAAATATTTGAAAAAAAACGATAAATTGGAAAACAACAAACGAAAAACCAGAAAACTAATAAACAAAGCAGCTTCGCATTAATAAAGATCGTCTCAATCAGAAAACAAATAACAATTATTAAATAAATTTGAAGCAATTGATTGTTTTTATTGGGCTGAGCGTGGGCAGAAAACAAAACAAATATAAAATTTAAAAAAAAAAGAGTTTATTAGTTAGTCAATTAAGAACATTCGTTCTTAAAAACCGTGTCAGTAAAAAGAAAGAGTATATTAGTTATGTACACATCGTACATCGTACACAGAGAGAAATATTAAAAACCGTGTAAGTACATTTTGGTATCAATGTTCTCAATATTAAAACGAAATGGTGAGAAGAGAAAAGTTAATTTGAGTTTATTTCACAACTTTTTGATAAGTATAATCTACTGCCTGGACTAATAGTTTATTTGTTGAGATATACAACGCAAATACCGCCTTGATTCGAGAAAATGAAAACATTTACAACTTCAAAAATGTCGTCTTATTTTTAAGAATATTTTCAACTCAGATGAATTTTTTCTGTGTATATTTGCATTTAAATATTTCCTATTCTCTAAATATAACATTAAAGTTCTTCCCTTTTTTCAATACCCACCGCTAAAATAATATCATTAGAGGGAACACATCAAAAGATTCGATGGTAGCAATCATCTATCTTTCTAAACCTCTACGTGAAAGGCAAGTCAAAAACTCTTCAAAACTATTACAAATTCAAGACCCGAAACGATTACGTAACCGTAAGGATATCCCCAAAACAACAGATTCCTTATTTTTTAGCTATAGTCATGTAAGAATTCTTACAGATTCTCGTTTTTCCTCTTGACATAGTGGATATACATACTGCGTACATCAACAAAGTAGAAATATCGCAAAAGGCGCGCTCTGTTTTCAGGTCAATGCACACGAGTCACAGACGCAGTCGCAGTTGCCGTTAAGTCGGGACAACCCCTAAGTCGAGCAGCACATGAGAAACAACCTGCCCAGAGAATGACAACTGAGTGCACTGGGGCTGCAACTGCTTCTGCACTGAGAGAAAATATCTTTCAGATAAGAATCTGTTTCTAAACATGTCTGGTTTATATTTATTGCATAAACTATTGCACTTTAACTTTGTCCACGAACAATTCCAATTTTTAAATCGGTGTCATTTGCAGGAAAACAATTTTTTATTTTAAAAATTATTCATTTTTATTTTATTTAGCCCGTTGGAGAATCTATGCTTTTATCAGTTCAGCATTAAAAATAAAAAATATATTTATCTGTACATTGTATCATATAATTATGTTGTGACTTTTAAAATTAATGGGAAACTCTTTTGATAAAAGCTCTTTAATATATCCTTCCCCACATTCCTCAGATGTATCAACATATTGTTCTCTGTGTACCTATTTCTACTGACTGCTGCCCAGATCTCAGAGCCCGCCCTTGCCAGATAAACCAGCAAACAGGTTCGTCCAAAAGGTTCAAACTCGGAACCGGCGAACGAGGACAAGTGTTTTGACCCGCGCAACAGCTTCCTTCCGCCCCGCTCGAAATGCAACTGTCTTTTGGGTCTGAGAATGTTTGTGGGTACACGGGAAACAATTTTATGGTATTATTTAGAATAACTCTAGTAATATATATTTTGTTATAATCTAAAGGACCTGCTACTCAAAACATTCTATTAAATAATTAGTTTGGTTTCCTCGGGGGGAATACAAGTAATATGTATTTTATTCCAAACTTTTTATATCTTCTCAAGACATTTTAAATATATTCTCCCACAAAAAAATTCTGGACCTCTTACTAGTTTAAAGTAACATAAATAATCCAGTAATATTTCATTTAAACAGAGATAGTACATTCAAAAAATTTCTTTAAGTTATTGGATTGTATAACCGTCGTTTAAATATAAATGGATACAAAATGATATTAGAAACTAACTTTCTTAATGTTATTACAACTATAATAATATCGTAAACTCAAAGACTTCCCAACTCGATTTTGATCAATGCAGATAGGGGCCAAAGGTATGGTAGGTCGAAAGTATTTATTTCCCTGTACGAGAGTGAGTTCAACTGGGATCGGGACGCGCTTCGCTGACTTCTGCACCTGCAACAGCAGCCGGCGATGATGGCACGCGGTAAAGGCAAAAGTAAAGGTAAGACCCTGAGGAAGGGGCCAAGTCGGCCAGGTTCTACCTGGATGCAGTTGGCCGTTTGTCGTCTGCCGGTTGCCACTTGTAATTATTTTGTGCCTCGGCGAGTAAGCGGCCCAAAAGGTAACAATATCCCCTCTTTAGGACTTGATGCAAACAAATTATATTTTGTTATGTGGCGGTAAAATACGTTACAATTTGTGGAGGGTGTGGAATGGATCGAACACATGTGAACTGATCTTAGGAAATATTTATGTCAGGGTCAGTCTTTCGAGGAGAACATGTGTGTTACGTCCTAACAAGGGAACAATGCCAGAAAACAGCTGATGCTGAATGTTCAAATTATATGATAGATCTGTTGGATCTTATAATCCCGGATGGAAAATAAAATAATCTCACTATACTCAGAAAGTATAAAAACCGTTTCCACCTGGACGAATTGTTAACAATATTAAGTAAATGACTGTTTAATGCCAATGCGTACCCAGTTCTTGTTATTGGGGCAGGTGACCAAAAATGCTTTTTTATTCAGAATGTTATGAGATTAGTAATTGGTGGAAATTTGTCTATAAAAGTAGTCTAGAACTTTCTGAAAATAATCATGCAAATAGTATAAAAAGGTGTTTAGCCAAATATTCAACGCTCTAGGAAGGGCAAAATACTGTTCTGTAAATTGTTAAGGTATTCATACATAAATTTAATATAACTATTCCTACTACATAACTACTAGTGCTTTTTAATTAAAGGTAAGCATATACGTATTATTTATTTTATCGAAAGCAATAAATATGCCCTTTGCTTTTTTTTAATGAACGCTTTACTAGCTGAGACGTGTAAAAATTAAAAAGGTTAATGATAAAAAAATTATAGATGTGGTATTATGCTACCTTTACGTCCCAAATGAGTTTACCTTTGGGTCGCTTTCGTTAGGGCTAGGACACCCATTATGGCCACTGACAACTGACCCTGTACGGCTGACCTGCAATCTCTGCTCAACAATCAACAATAAAACTCAATCATTGCTTGAGCACTGAACTCGACTACAATGAACTTGGGTGCCGAGTCGTACTCCCCTGTCATTAGGAAATTTCCATATGCGAGTGTGCGACACATGCAACGCTAGACAGCACCCCCACAAATAACCCCCTTTTCGGCGCCTCCATGCCCGCTGACACGTGGCGCCAGGCAATTGCATGCAGGACTGAGAATGGACAGAGAGGACTTGCCAAATTAGGGATCTAAGGCGGCGAGGGCGTGGCAATTAGTCGCTTCATGTGGCCAAGGAAAATCCAAATAAAAATTAATACCCACCAGCAAAAGTTCCCACACTAAAAAAAAGGCAGTAATAGTAATAATAATAATCCCCCCGGAGAGTTGCTGGTGCCATTATAAGGATATTACGAGCATTATGTTTGTTTATTCCGAACGCGGAGCCGTGCCATGAAACCGCTGAACCGCATCGGGCAAGTTAGCCACCCCTAACCAACCCCTAGTCACTGAGAGCCAGTAAGTACAGCCTAACCCGCTCCAACTCCAAATCAATCATTTACATAATCGTCATAGCCACATTCGCTTTTGGCCCAAAACGCGTCGAAATTTCACGCGCTTTTTCCCCAGAAATGGACAAGTTGCGTGTTTTTAATTGTTTCTTTCTTTTTTTTGCTGGGGTTGGGTATAGGCACTATATTTTAGTTTCAAATGCAATCGCTTGAGCATTACTAAGCAAAGTTGTAATGACTTGCAAGGAGGGGCAATTTGTCATATTACACAGATAAGTTGGCACCTGCCATCAACTTTGCAGGAGGTAGTACCCCGTTTCCTCCGCAGCTATAATTCCTACAATGGTCCTTTTGAGCCGCACTTCTATTCAATCGATTCCTAATGAGCTTAAGCATTATTGAATATTTGTATTGTCCAATCCTAATGAGACCAATGGAAATTATTGGTTGGCCAAGCAAAGTGGTTGAAGCCAGGGGAAATATATATTATAGTCATCGTGGATCGATCTGCATATGAATTATGACTCTGGAGAATTACAGAACGAATCGATTGGCTTAAAATTAACCTATTCTATTGAATTATATTACTTTATAGCATGTTTATGATATGCATTATATGCTAAATACATTTCGTTTTTGAGTACCAAATCTTACTTGATAAAAAAGTTGGTAAAACATACCTTTTATTATCTATCATATACTTATACTTGTATCCAAATCGTCAGTTTACCAGAAATATCATCAGAAAGCCGGTAAGAATACCGAATAAAAATTAAAATATCATATTGCATCAAACGCTGAACGTTATTATTGTCAAGCAAAGAACTTTTTTCAATCCTAAAGCCACAAAAGCCTACTGCTTGAACCATTAGCACTATTGCTTAGATAGCAATATTGAACTCCGCCCAAACTCGATTCCATATAGTATTTCTCCCTCTGCTGTCCTTAAGTGTTTGATCCTGGCCGAAAAAAGTCTGTTTGTAACAAATGTACAACCAAAGAAAAAAAGTCGAAAAAAATCGAATCGAAAAGCAAATGCTGCCCATTAACAATAAAATACACAGCGAAAAAAACAGTGGGGGTGGCAAAATAGGCTGGGCAAAGGATGGAGGTGGTACTGGGGGTGTATAAAAACAAGGCAGAAATTCGTTTTTTATGTACCGCGAGTTTTTTATAGTTCGATGTTGCTGTTGTTGCTTGCACGTTATCAACAATCTCGTTTTACCAAATAACGCAAAGTGCGCGTCATGGCATTGGTACACCGAAAAAAAATGATACATTTATCGTATTCCACACCTCCCGTTGGCAGAAGGGTTAAATATAACCTTAAATTTAGATACTAAAATACTGATAACTATTTTTTTCCGATATTAATGAAAAACATAAATTCGTTCAATAAATGTTAACATAAGGTATTCATAATAAGGTACATTTATATAATTTAACAC